AGCCAGGGGGAGTCAGTCTCTTCTCCCAAGGAACAAGCAATAGGACAAGAGGAAACAGCCTCAAGCTGCATCAAGGGAGGTTTAGGTTGGACATCAGGAAAAATTTCTTCGCAGAAAGGTTGTGAAGCCCTGGCACAGGCTGCCCAGGGCTGAAGGGATTTAAAAGCCGGGTGGATGTGGTGCTCAGGGACATGGGTCAGTGGTAGCCCTGGCAATGCTGGGTTAACAGGTGGATTTGGGGTCTTTTCCAATCTAAACTATTCAGTGAATCTGTGACTATATCTCCCTTATTTCAATGAGGAAGCACTCACAACTCCCTTTGGGTGTTCTTCCCTCCCTCAGCCCAGGGGTGAATCCACTTTGCCGGCACATCCCAAAAGTGCGAATGAAGAACCCTCTTAGTCTCTTTTCCCTTCCAGCGGCTAATGGACCAGGCACCCACCTTGTGCAGGGCCCAAGTGAAAACAGAAGGGTGGCTGGGGCTGGGTGGGGTTGCCTGAGGTCAGCTACACTCCTCTGGGCCCCCGGGTGATGTCTCTCAGCTGTGTGTCGGGTCACTGCTCCCCACGGGCTTGACTTTCCTCCTCACTTGCCTGAGAATCATCCCACTGGTGAGAAACCACGGGTATTTCACTGAGCTGGATTTGTGGGGCAGAGATGCTGGCTTTTATCCCTTCTGCTCTGCCGGCTTGAAACAACCAAAGCAAGGAGCTACTATTCTGAGTAGCAAATATTGTACTGAAATTGCTCATTTCCAAAGCTGTTTTGTCCTGGAGAGATGAGGCTGTGGGCGTTGGTCCTACCCCGTGTTAATGTCTGAATGCAGTGAGTGGGATCAGTGAAGTTTCAGAGTGTTAGAAGCCCTGGGATTATTCAGTTCCTGTAAATTCCCTCAAAAGACGTGTGTGCATGGAAGAAAGAGATCCAAGGGGGGGTCCCCACGGAGGGGAAGGCGTTCCAAGCCAAGCTCTGTGATGAGACATCAAGCAACACCTAAACGCTTAGGCTCAGCAATTATTTTTTTTTTTCACACAGTCATTGATACTGATGGTGCTAATAAGCCAGCTGCATGGCCTGAACTTCAGTCAGGGCTTGTGGCTGGAACAGTTGGTTGTATTTTCTCAGATCCTGGTGTCCAGCTTTGCTTTTCCTTTTGGGCTATGGAAAGCAGTTCCTGGCTGAGCCACCTGTGAGCTTTTGAACTGAAGAGGCTAAAATTATTCACCGTGTTCAGTACTCACAGCTAGTTTGGCAAAGCGTATTTATTTTTAAAGGAACAGATGGGAGGAGTTGGAGAGCCGAATAACAGCGTAAATGAAATGCTTTTGGTTACAGGTCCCAGTTTGACCCCACGCAGCGTGAAACGACCAGTGTCCTCCTCACCAGGGTGTGATGTTGGCACACGTTTGCCAGCAGTCAGGGCTTGTTGACAGTCACCAAGTGGCATAAAGGAGGAAAGGGAGTGGTTGCTCTAACTTTGCCTGTGTTTGTTGTAGGCAATTGTCAAATATTTACAAGATCAAGGAGTCCTTATCCTCCTCACGTCCTCTGCCTTGGCACGAGACGATGGTAAGACATGGCTGTGTGGAAAAACGATCTCTCTGCTTAAACATCCTGCTCTGTTTTAAAGATGAAGGGTGGGCGCCCTCAGTCTAAGCAAAACCTGTTGCTTTCTTTTCTAGAGTATGACCCCAAGGAGCCCGGCAGCCTCCTGGCCCTCTTTCTGTTCACCTCATCCCAGTTGGTGCATCCAAGAGGTAGGGAAGGTTCCCTTTGCTGGCTTCAGGCGCCGTGTTTTGAGCGTGAGATCCTCAGCACGGAATCCTCACAGGCACTTTCCTCTCGAAGAACCGATTTCTCTGCTCAGAACCGCCCACAGCTGTAGTGCAAAGGATGTTAAAACAGGAGAGAGGAGTCCCAGCTCTCCTGCTCTGCTGCATTTTAGGCTGATCTAAACCGAGTTCCTTGCCTCACCCATTCACTGCACACCCTGTCCTTTTGCAGGAATTTGATGGGAGGGACAAATAATTCCTTTGCTCCCTCTGGGTCAGTTTTTAGCCGCGTCCACTCCGTGAACGCTCTGTGTGCACATGGGAGTCTGAGTGCTGCAAAGCCTGGCTTACAGCCCTGAAGGTGTGCTGGAGCCATGTTGGAGGGGACAAAATGACAAATGGCACTTGCTGGACCCTGCACGACCCTGATAGGATTTGCTAAACCAGCAGGAAAAATCCCCAACAAACTTGCCTTAAAAATGACCTGTTTTCTGCTGAGATAACAAGTGAAATGGACTCCCTGAAAGGTCGCGGCTGGTGTGGGGAGGGAAGAGGAGAGGTGGGGAGTGGGCTTTGCTCCCTGCAGAGCAGCCAGAGTTGGGAGGCTCAGCCCTATCGTGTGACTTCTCTGCTGCTGGATCCGTAAACGCGGTATCGGAGCGATGACGGCTGGTTGGGGTGTGTCGTGGGTGAGGGAGGGAGGCAGGGAGATGGTGCTGGGCAGAACCACGCTGCTTTGGTGCCATCGAGGTGAGTCACGGCTCTGGGGCCTGGGAGGCGAATTCAGGCTGTTTGCAGCCCCAAAACGTGTTTCTTTTTGTGCAGGACAACCGGCACTAAACAAGAGAAAGTAAAGAATGCACAGTTAGACCCTGCAGATCTTGAAATAGGAAAGAGCTTTAACCTCTGTTGCATTCACCTAACATGTTCTCTGTGTATCTGTTGGTGTTTTGCCTCGCCGTCTACGTGGAAATAATTGCACTACAATTTCCTCTTGTGGACATAAATCAAGTTACTCCTCTGCCTTCCCCTGGACAGCTTCATCTGCACCTCCAGGAGCACTTCTAGTCCTACAGATCCCCAAGCAACACGCAAACAGGGGCCTTTTGTTCTGCGTAACTTCTGGTTTGTTCTTTGTTGAGTCATCCTAGGGACAAGCCAAGAGGCTGTTTGTGCCAGTTCGCGCTGGTATTTCAGTCCTCCTCTGGGTGAGTGATGGCAGGCGTTGCCAACAGAGCTGCCCAGGACGACAGTCTCCCCTCCGCTGAAGATAAAATTGGCAGAAGAGTCGACGGGACCCACCAGCACATCCAAGCATGGATTTCTTTGTCTTTTTAAGCGTTTTACCTCCGGCTATAAACTTTGCCCTTCAGGATCCACGCATGAAGTGGGCTTGTAAGGCGGGTGAAGATGTGATGGTAACTCTGCAGTGTGGCAATTTCTGTAGTTTCTTTTCTAAGAGGGAGACAGGCTTCTCCAGAGGCAGGCTGAACATCCGGCGTGCCTGGTCAGAACTGAGATCGGGTCTTTGCTGTGATGCCTGAAGCAAGAGCCTGAAGTTGGGCGAGGTGAAGGGGAAGGACACCTGGAAAGCAGACTGGAGGTGGGGACTGACCACCTAGATATTGAGATCTTGCTGGCCGGCCCACCACAGGCAGAAAACACCCTCCACAGTGGAGGAATCTGTTCCTGAAAGGCTGGCTGTGAGTGCTGTGAGCTGGGGAAGAGGAGAATAGGGTAAGGAGGTATTTATCTTGAAGAGGGTTATTGTGGGGGAGGTAGGAGAGGGCACCAGGCATGAGGAGCATCCTGGAGTAAAGACAGTGCAAGCAGCTGGTTGGTAGGAAGGTTTGTAGCAGATGTTGCCTGTGGCTGGTGTTGATGCTAAAAAGGAGGCGAAGCCTGGGCAGCCAGAGAGCAGCTGGTGGCAAAATGAAGAGCCAGGGGGAGAAGATAACGTTGATGACTTCCAGACATTTTCCCTCTGGTACCAGCAGGACTCCTGCACGCGCTGACCCGTTCTGCCTACACAAGTGGCATTACCCCAGCCAGCCCTCACCGTCCCCTTGGGTCCAAGACCTCTTCTCACTGGGCTTATAAACCCTTTTTCCTTTAGGACTTCTCATCCTCGTGAGATAAGCAGAGCTCTGCAGGGATTTGGAGTTGAACAGGGATGGTCACTGAGGGCGGCGGAGGTGCAGAGGAGATGCAAAGAAAAAAGGAGGGTGAAGCGCGGATGCGTTTGGAGTTGCTCAGCGCAGGCTTGGAAGCATGAATAAGGTTTCCTGTTTCAAAACAGCTCCTGAATCTGTTCCTTTCCTGTCCACACAGCTGTGGGGAGGAATGTAGGGCAGGCAGAAGGAGCCCACGGTGCAGACGTGCCGCAGCGTTCCTGAGCCGGCAGCGGGGACAGGCAGCTGGGAGCCGGTTTGCGGAGATGTCTGGGCTTGCCGGTAACAAGAACCAGCGTTGCCAGCGTGAGGCAGGGCCAAGAGGCGAAGAAAATCGCACATCTGGGAGGGGAAGAGGAACGCCTTTGCCTCGCTGGGAAGAGATGTGACAGGGAAGGGCACCGGGGTTGTTCGGTTGGCCCTGCAGCCAAAAGAAACCTTGGAGTTGGATCATAACACTCAGACGGGCAGAGCCTGCCGGCGTGAAGCTCCCAGCGTCGGACCGCTGGGTTGAAGCTGGTGAAGCTGGAGAAGTTTGGCTCGTGCAGAAAGGAAGCTCAACCGGCAGGCTCTGCGTATCACACCCTTTCCAGACACCGAGAGGACGCTGCTGTGCCAAGCAGAGCCTATTTCCACGGTGACATCTGTGAGGGCGGGCACCCTCAAGCCTTGGGACTCGCCATTCCCTCCTGGGAGCTAAACCCAAAGCTTTTACAATGCTGGGCAGCGTGAAAAAAAACTCCTTCTGAAAACATAAACACCAACTGTTCTCAGTAGGATCCATCCTCCAGGTTTAGAAAATCACACAGGGGTTCGTGTTATTTATTTATATCTGCGTGAGGAAGTCTGTATTCCTCATCCCTCACCAGAGCACACCCACCCACGCCGACAGCAGGTCGAGATGGAGCTGCTGGAAGTTGCATCAGAACAGGGACAAACAAGTGATCTGAAAATGGTGCTGGTCTAAACACCCAGCACAGATGACCCTAAATTTAAACAGATTTTTAAAAAGTCAGAACTACAAAACCCATGTATTTTCAGAGCTCTTGACTGTCTTAAGTGTTGGTCGTAGCAGGAGTTACTGGAGCGAAAGGACTTTGACCAGTATGTGTGTGATCTCAGCCTGTAATTTCCTGCAGAATGAGGCTGACGGATACACCAGCAGGCTTTCATCTTAGTTTAATGCACTTTTGACTCCCATGTGCAATTCTTTATTATTTGAGCAGTTACAAGCATCCATCAAAACAGCCCATCATCACTGGGGCTAGTTTTTTGTCGGTTGGTTTCTGGGGCCTTTTCGTAGCTTTCGTGTTCTCATGTAAGGATGAGGGGATTTGGGGAATTGAATCCTTTTTCAAGATGAGTCAAATTCTTTCTTTTTCCTTCCGCAGCTGAAAAGCACGATGCAAAAGGTGAAAGGGAAGACAGTGACAGCAGCAACATCTCCTTAAAAGTAGCCTCAGTTTTGCCTGGGCTTCGCTACGCCTTACGGAAAGCCACCAGTTCTTCACAGGGGGACACAGTCGATATGAGCACGTGCATCAAACAGCACCTCCAGGAATACGCAAAGCTTGATCAAAATTCACAGCTCGCCTCTGGCCAAAACAGCAAAGTTCCACTTTCTCCTCTCCTCTCACCCACCAAGGAAGAATGTACTAATCCCTTCCAAAAATGCTCGGAGGAGTCCTTCTCCCAGCTGCGGCGTTACCTCTCCAATCCCAGCAGCTATACGCTGGAAATTTCAGCTGCCTTAGGGTGTTTGACCGGTGCTGCTCAGTCTCTTCGCTGCAATTCGGAGGCTGATTGTAAAGTGGACTTTTCTTCGACTGTGCCGCCGGACCCTGCTCCTCCCGATGCAGCAGCAGAAATAAAAATCCAACCTGAGAGCCCGAAGCCCGTGGCAGGGCTGGACCAGAGTGGTGAAGGGCTCGCGAAAGATGTCAGCTCGGCCAACAAGCTGTGGGTGCAGCAGAGCAGGAGGAAATCCAGCCGAGCCGTCGTGACCAGCCCCAGGAAGAAATGGTCACCCCTCAAGATGCAAATGCATCCTATGGGGGACGGCGGCAGGAACAGGAAAGCAACGAAGAAGAAGAAGAAAATCAACGTGGCTTTCTCTTTTCCTAAAAAGCCGAGCTTCACGGCCAGTTCCAACGAGCCCATGCTTAAATTGGCCAATTTGCAGTTTCCACACAGAAGGAAAAGAGGTAAGTGCTATAGAAATGGGACGGGCTTCTTCCTGCTTCTTTGGGGCATCCAGCTGGAATACTCGGGGTTCACCAGGAGCTACATCCACTCCACACCCACCCCGGGTACCCAAAGCAAGCCGACACCTCCTGAGAGCGTCCAGATAGGTCTGTGGAGGTGTCACCACGGTCTCTTGTTCAGCCTGGGAAGGAGTCCAGGGCTATGATGGGGGAGTGGTTGGTTATTGGTATTGATCTCTTCTCACAGATAATTAGTGATAGAACAGGAGGGAATGGCTTCAAACTGCAACAGGGGAGGGTTACACTGGGCATTAGGAAAAATATTTCGTAGAGTGGTCAGAGCTTGGCACAGGCTGCCCAGGGAGGGGGTCGAGTCCCCACCCCTGGAGGTGTTTAAAGATTGTTGAGATGTGTTGGGGGAGATGGTTTAGGGGTGAGCTCTGTAGAGTAGGGTTCGTGGTTGGACTCGATGAGCCCAAGAGTCTTTTCCAGCCTGAAGGATTCTATGAGTTCAGTGAATGCATCTGAAACTTGGTGCAGTCATAGAATCATAGAACCATAGAACAGTTTTGGCTGGAAGAGACCTTCAAGATCATCGAGTCCAACCTTTGTCCCAGCCCTATCAAGACCACTAAACCCTGTCCCTCAGCACAACATCCACCCGTCTCTTAAACCCCTCCAGTCCCCCCGCTGCGCGGCCTGTGCCAGGGCCTGACAACCCTCCCAGTAAAGAAATTCTTCCCAATATCCAACTTGGTGCAAATTGAGGCCATTTCCCCTCGTCCTGTCACTTGTCACTAGGGAGAACAGACCAAACCCCCCCTTGCTACAACCTCCTTTCAAGTAGTTGTAGAGAGTGAGAAGGTCTCTCCTCGGTCTCTTCTCCAGGCTGAACAGCCCCAGCTGCCTCAGCCCTTCCTCACAGGACACATGTTCCAAATCCTTCTCCCGCTTGGCAGCACAACTCTGTGCCCTCTCCAGCAGCTCAGTGTCCCTCTTGTAATGAGGGGCCCAATTATTGTCCTATTACTAGTAACCTGGGAGAAGGGACCAACACCCACCTCACTACACCCTCCTGTCAGGGAGTTCGAGCGCGATGAGGTCTCCCCTCAGTCTCTTCTCCAGGCTGAACAACCCCAGGTCCCTCAGCCGCTCCTCGTAAGACACGTTCTCTAAACCCCTCACCAGCTTCATTGCCCTTTTGATCATCTCATTCCAACCCCGCCGCCACGAGCAGGGACACCTCCCACCAGACAAATTGCTTAAAGCCTCATCCAGCCTGGCCTTGAACACTTCCAGGGATCAGACTTCCACTACTTCTCAGTCCTTTGAGCTCTGTTCTGGGGCCTGAGTGCCAGTGCTGATGGACCTGGTAGAGGTTCTCGTGTGCTTCTTGGAGAGGTAAATAAGTACCTTCAGGTACAAGTGTGCCAGGCAGGAATTTGAGAGATTTATCCCCAGAGAGCGCGTATTCTAGGTTAGGGCAGCAGGCTTTTAATGTTCTAGGTTAGGGCAGCAGGCTTTTAATGAGCAGGCTTTTAATTAAGCGATGCTTAATTTTTAATAACTACTTCCTGATCATTCTCAGCAACAAGCCCATTAGTAAGATCAGGTGCATAAATCAAGTCGTTGAGGACTACTCTGCTGCTGCCAATCGCTTCTAAAGCAGCCCTTCCACGTTCCTTAACTGGGTATTTTGCAACTACTCCTTTTTTTAACCTGAATATGTCTCAAAACGAACCAAAAACCCAAATGCCCTCCCTTTTCCTCATCCCAGGTGCGGAGGTCCTGTCTGCAGAATTTGTGCACAAAACACAGGCGGAACCTGTTCAGAAGGAAACCTCAGCTCTCCGTGATCCTGGCTTGGAAACAAAGAGACCAAAGATATTGAAGAACCCAGACGTGAAAAAGGTTCCTGTTGCTGGGAAAAGTAAGATGCTAGGAAGTGCAGCTAACGCCCCGTCGAAACCTCACGCCAAAAAGCAAGCAGGAAGTGGTAAGAGCGCTGTTCCCTGTGGAAATCTTTCCTCTAAAAGCCGAACCATCAAACGTTACGGTCAGGATACAACTAGATGATGGTAACAGCACAACTGGCAGCAAAAGGCTTTATAATTTTGAGTGCTGAGGGTCTGGATTGGGATCTGAGTCCCGCTGCCCCCCAGCCTGCTTGTGCCCAGTTGTGTATAGGAGCCTAAAACACGAAGGCAGCTGTGAAAATCATCAGTCTGGGACGTACAAACCACTCGGGGTCTCTTCTGACTCCTTTGCTTCAGTTTGCCTCCTTGGCAAACTGCTCGGATAGTTTAAAAAGCCTGATTTTAAAAAGCCCTGCAAGGTGAGGCAGCGTTATAACCTCGACCCTGGCATCTGCCTGGGTTTTTTTAATCCATTCTGTCGTAAATCGGGTCGTTTGAAAAAGCGTCGAGTCGGTGCAGCCTTGGTGGAGTCTGCTGTTAAACCAAGATCGGGGTGCCAAAATAAATGATGGAGAAGGAGAGTCGTTTTCTGTTCCTTAGTCATGTTTTCTCACGCCCGCGCTTTGATGCCCTTCTTCAGATCTGCCTCTGGTCTTTCTTTTTTAACCCCCTCCTCGGGGAAGGTGGAGGTTTTGGAGGTTTAGAAACTTTGACTCATTTTAACTCTTCTTCTTTGCCCTTTATCACCACGTATTCCTGAAATGTGGCACTTTTCATCAGCGTGTGTGTGTCAAACTCTGCCCCTCGTTGCTGTTGGCACAAGGGGAGGTCCCGGAGTGGATCCGGGCACAGGCAAGGAGTCAGATAAGTCCTGGTGAATGCCAGAATGTGCCAAAACCCTGAACTGAAGAGTGTTCAGCGGTAAGAAATACCTGATTTATGTATCTTACAGGGCACTTCTCAAGGAAATTAAATGTAACACGTAGGACTTCAGTGGTTTAATAACGTTTTGCTTGAAGAGAGATGTTTGCGCCGGTTTTTAGTAAGAAGGCATTGACCTTGTTTTAATGACTGTTTTTTTACCCAGATGGGCCTTGAGCCGTGGTGAGGGACATTTTTAACAGCGAAAACTAAACAACTGCTTCTTTTCTGTGCTCGAGCTGCCTTTGGGAGCCCTCAGATGTCTGTGTGTGCTCTGAGGTTATGCCCCTGTGAGGGTGTGCAGTAGGAAGCATGAGGTTAGAGTGGATTTTCTCTGTGTTTTAGAGGGGTTTTTTGTAACTCTGGGTTGTCGAAGACATAGCACAGAGTTTATCCATGAAGACTGCAAACACTCCAACCAGAAGGGGATGTAAAGAAGAAAAAATATGAAGGGAACACCTGAAATATCTCAGGGTTTATTTAAGTGGCCAAACTGCCCTGTGCCTGGAGGCCAAGGGAAATGTTGGTCACGCTGGATCCCGTGTCTTTTATTTCTGAGAATAAACCCCTTTCCTGAAAACACTGAGATTCCCAACTCTGGATCGTTTCATAGTAGCCACGGCCTGCGTAAGCGTGAAGTTTTGGTTGTTTGTTTTTTTTTTAAATGTGCAGATTTCATGCTGGACAGACACTTTTTCCTGTCGAACTGCAGGCCTGCTTCAAAACCCCTGGCAAGGCAGAGCTGTGTGGCCTCTGTTTATTCTCTGACTTTGGTTTTTTCCTCCTGCAGAGTGGAAGGAGCCGTCCTTTGTCCTCCCAAGCGAAGTTTCTTCCCAGCGCCGCGGAGCGGAGAGCCGGGCGAGCGAGACTTCCCTCGGCAGCGCTGCTGATCTCGGTTTTGCTGCGAAGGGGAACGACTACGAGTCCCATGCCTTGAACTTGCTGGCTGATCTGGCGCTGGGTTCTTGTATTCCTCCTTTTATCCCCAGGGACGGTGGGACAACCGCTGGGTCCTGCGGCTCCTCCGGCAACTCTGCAAAGGAGCAGCAGGATCCTCACAACCACAAATCCTTGCGTGTCGCTTCCGACCACGAATACCACAGGGTAGACAAGCTTGCAAAGGGAGCCAGCTCTCCTAGCAAACAAACACCCAACCAGAAGCTTCCCCCTGCTGAAAAAGCGGGTTTAGG